CCTTTGAAACACAACAGCGAGAAGGCAAAAAAGCCAGAAGAATCGTCGGAGCGGTAGTACCGCTTGACCTCACGGTACTACCGCTAGGGGTAGCGATACTACTACTTGCGAGCTGTACTAAAAAATTCCATCTGTGCCTACCACCGCTGGACTTGTGACGAGTTTTTGGTCCCGAGCGGAAGTAGCCACGGGAGTAGCCGCGGTAGTACTTCTCCAAGTGGTAGTACCTCTCCCAAGGGCGGTAGTAAAAAATTACATCCGCTCCTGTCCGCGGTAGTACCGCTGCAGCCGTTTCAGAACACCAAAACTGACACAACTTCTGCAAACGGACTCCTAATTCGACGAAACCAAGTTTGTTGGAAAGCTAGCGACAAGGGCTAACACAATCTTGATAGAAATACCAATAAGAAGCAAATGAGAAAAGGCCCAAAATAAAATGGTGAGAACCCTTCCTCGGATAAGACCGGTAAAAGCTCCAACACCGAAAACATCATAGAAGAGGCATGCAAACTCCATTTTTGATGAACTCAAGCTTGTCATCAAGATGAACATAAGCTCTAAGACTCACAAAGAGAACCAAACAAGAACCAAGAAACATGATGCAAGGATGCAATGGTTTGAGCTCTCGACGAACGATATGATCAAGCTACTCACTTGAGAGCCCCCCTTGATAGTACGGCTATCGATCCTATAACCCGGTCTCCCAAATACCACCATGAGACCGGTAAAATAGAAAACCTATCAAGGGCAAACCTTTGCCTTGCACAAAGTCCACTTGAGCTAGATGTATATGATCTTGACTTCCTCAAGTAGGACCACCTTTCTTGATTGCATTGGCTCAGTGAAGACGAGTAGATTGCTCCCCCATACTCCATTATGGGTGAGCCACTTTTCGACGCATCTTCACAAGTCCATTGTCACCACAATGGACGACAATATTCAAGCACTTGATCTCTTCGTGATGCATCACTTGAACATGCACACTGCAACCTAACCCCACAAAGAACTCTCACGAAGACTATGGGTTAGTACACAAAGCGTAGTGGTCAATACTTACCATACCATGGGATCACTTGATCCCTCTCGGTACATCTTCTATGCTTTGTGATTTGATCAACTTGATTCACTCTTGACTTAGTCTTGATCAACCTTGAACCTTTCCAACTCTCTTCATTTGGATGATGCCTTGAAGGTAAGCATGAATAATCACACAATCTTCTTCTTCAAGACATGCTTGCAATAAGCTCAACTCTCACATGACCGATCTTTAGGTAATTCCTTGAATAACACCATGGTTGACACAAACTCTCCTTGAAACCAACACATGTACTCCAAGAAAAGCCTATGGACAAAACCTTCAAATATAACTCAAGGCAACCATTAGTCCATAGAGACTGTCATCAATTGCCAAAACCAAACATGGGGGCACCGCATGTTCTTTCAACGGGGGCAGGGGGACCCCATAGACACAACAATTGATCGTTTGATCTCTTAGCCATGTGCGGTGCCCCCCTCCACCATAGTACACCTCGATAATACTGTAGCGGTGCTTAGGCGAAGCCCTGCGTCGGTAGACCATCAACATCGTCACCATGCCATCGTGTTGACGAAACTCTCCCTCAACACTCGGTTGGATCGGAGTTCGAGGGACGTCATCAGGCTGAACGTGTGCAGAACTCGGAGGTGCCGTGCGTTCGGTACTTGATCGGTCGGATCGTGAAGACATACGACTACATCAACCGCGTTGTGCTAACGCTTCCGCTTTCGGTCTACGAGGGTACGTGGACTACACTCTCCCCTCTCGTTGCTATGCATCACCATGATCTTGCGTGTGCATAGGATTTTTTTGAAATTACTACGTTCCCCAACAGCAATTGCCCCCCTCTCCTGCCCTCATCAGATAAAACAAGGTCTAATTGTGTTTGTGTTAGGGAGACATGTAGTTGTAGTCGAGGGCTACACTTGCAGTTGCATGCCTAGTGTCAGACATGCTACTACCCCCTCTCATATCCCCATCCAACAAAACAAAGGTTAGTTGCGGGCAAGATGGAAGACATGCAATTGCAGTCAACGGCGGCACTTGCAGTTGCATGCCAAGTGTATGCATGCAACTGCCGCCGCCCCTCTCCAACTGTCCTCCGACAAAACAAAGTTTAGTTGCGGTCGTGATGAAAGATATGCAATTGCAGTTGGGACGCGACACTTGCAGTTGCTTGCATAATGTACACATGCAATTGCCCCCCTCTACCACCGTCCTCCAACAAAACAAAGTTTAGTTGCAGTCGTGATGGAAGATATGCAATTGCAGTCGGGGCGCGACACTTGCAGTTGCATGCATAATGTACACATGCAATTGCCCCCCTCTCCCACCGCCCTCCAATAAAACAAAGTTCAGTTGCAGTCGTGCTGGAAGACATGCGGTTACAGACGGGGCTGACACTTGCAGTTGCATGCCTAGTGTACATATCCAACTATAGTTGTGGTCAGGGCGCTACACTTGCAGTTGCATACCTAGTGTACACATGCAACTGCTCCCCCTTTACCACCGCCCACGGACAAAACAAAGTCCAGTTCCAGTCGAAGGTGACACATGCAGTTGAATGCCTATGGGAATACATGCAACTACCTCTCCCCCACAAAAAAACCACTAAGTTGAAGTCGCCTTGAAGACATGCAGTTGCATTCAAGCGCA